CTCAGTCGATCATCCTCGAGCCGGGTGTGCAGGACCTGGTTCTGGGGGACGCGAGGGACTTTATGAACAGCAAGTCTTGGTACGCTGAGCGCGGTATTCCGTTCAGGCGCGGGTATCTTTTGGTAAGTCCGCAGTTCTAACCCTTGGCCAAATCCACGTCGCTAACATCTGTCCTACCATTCAGTATGGCGCACCCGGTGCTGGCAAGACTTCCCTTATCCACAGCATCGCCGGGGAACTCAACTTGGACGTCTACATCCTCTCTCTGTCCCGCAGCGGGCTCGATGACTCCAGCCTCTCGCAGGTCATCAGCGAGCTGCCCGAGAAGTGCATCGCGCTCATGGAGGACATCGACGCCGCCTTCCACCACGGTTTGACTCGCGAAGGGCCCTCGCCCGCCGACGACGCTGAAGATGGTCCCGACGGCCCTCGCAAACCGCGCGCCGCGGCCCCCTCCGGCAAAGTCTCACTCAGCGGGCTGCTGAACGCGCTCGACGGCATCGGCGCGCAGGAGGGCCGTATCCTCTTCGCGACGACAAACAAGTACACCGCGCTCGACCCTGCATTATGCCGCCCCGGGCGGATGGACCTGCACATCGAGTTCCGCAACGCGAGCAGGTACCAGGCCGAGGAGCTCTTCAAGCGCTTCTACCTCCCCTCGGGCTCGTTGTCTGATCGCCCTCTCGAGGCCGCCGGAGCTCCCGCTGCGAAGCCCTACAGGGACGACGACCAGGAGAGCACGGACTCCGGGTACGGCGGCTCGCGCGCGGAGTCCGAGAAGCTTATTGACGTCGACGAATCGTCTGCGCCCTCGCCCTCGCGGCGGTCTTCGTCGCCGGAGAAGCCGTCGTTTGTCGGGGTGTCGCACAGCCAGCGCGCGCCCCGGATGTCGCCCGAGCGCTTCCGGGAGCTTGCGACGCGCTTCGCGGACGCGATTCCGGAGCGCAAGCTGTCGATGGCCGCGCTGCAGGGGTACCTGATGACGTACAAGATCAGGCCGGTGCAGGCGGTGGAGGACGTTGCAGCGTGGGTGGAGAGGGAGCTGGCGCAGAAGGACGCTGCCGAGGACGATCCGTAGGATGATGAAAAGATGACGATGGATATTATGAAGTCGTGATTGTATCATACCTTTGCTCGAGCATACCCGCATATCCATGTAGACACTGTATCACGCACACTGACCGCATAGACCACAGCAATTGCACAAAACATGTTAATATTGGAGTCGTGAGCTTCTCAAGAAGTTGATAGAAAATAGCCTTCGAGTTTATGATGTTTGTGTTCACATGCATGTGATTTTCCGAACCTCTTCCGCAGATTTTCGGCTGATCTCATCGTCTCTTACGACCACCGACATCGCACCATGTCCCTGTCACCATCCTAGTCTATTACTCACCTTATAAGTCTCGGCTCCATATCGTATTTATTCTACACTCTAGGAAGACCGGCACCTATGCTCAGAATCCTGCGCCCTGCGTCGCCTCGCCGCTGCAGCTACACCATCGACCACCACCGCCGAGCGATGTCTACAAACACCACGGCGCTCCCAGAATCATCGATACCCCTCTTCACGAGCCTCGCGACGTACCGCGCATAGAGACACAAGGCGTTCAAGGAGGACAAGTCTGTCGGATTCGTGCCCACCATGGGCGCGCTGCACGACGGGCACCTCTCCCTCGGTGCGTAATGCACGCACCCACTCCCCAAACCACCCCTTCCTCATAAACCTGCGTGCGGGACACACACACGCTGTGCAGTGCGCCGCTCGCTTGCGGAGAACGACCTCACCGTGCTCTCCATCTTCGTCAACCCCGCGCAGTTCGCGCCGCACGAGGACCTCGCGACCTACCCGCGCACGCTCCCGCGCGATCTCGAGCTTCTCGCGCAGCAGACGTTTAGCATTGGCAGTGCGGACGGGCAGGGGCAGGTGCGCACGCCGTCGGCGGTGTTCCTGCCCTCGGTCCACGACATGTACCCGACCGGCATCGTGCAGGACGTCGCGCAGCAAAAGGGCACGTTCGTCGAGGTCAAGGGATATAGCCATCAGATGGAGGGGCAGAGCCAGCCGACGTTCTTCAGGGGCGTTGCGACGGTCGTGACGAAGCTGTTTAATGCCGTCCAGGTGAGCTGAATTGACCATGCTTGTTGCGTGTACTGCGGTATTGACTCTACTGGACAACGCGCGTGCGGTATGTGCAACGCGTCAGCCAACGAACGCGTACTTTGGCCAGAAAGATATCCAACAGGGGCTGCTGTTGCGGCGCATGTGCCGCGACCTGCTCTTGCCGAACCCAGCGCCCGAGCGGCTACACATCTGTCCCACAGCCAGAGACCCGTCCGACGGTCTCGCGCTCTCCTCGCGCAACGCGTATCTGTCCGAGAAGGAAAGAGGCGTCGCAGGGACGCTCTACCAAGCCCTCCAGGCTGCGGAGTCGGCATGGACGAGCGGCAAGACCAAGACCGAGTGCGTCGCGAGCGCGCTGGACATCATCAGTACCGCCACGGCGCGCGCCGTCGACGAGGGGATCGAGATGAAGCTGGAGTACGTCGAGCTGAACGATTCCGAGACATTTGAAGTGCTCGACTCTGCGTCGAAGAAAGACACGGCCGGCTGCGAGGCTGTCATCTTGAGCGGCGCGTTGCGGGTGGGGAAGACGAGGCTCATCGATAATATAGTCATTGGTGATCTTAATCGCACTGTACCATAGCCTCGATTGATCGAAAAGACATTGGTTTCAGGGGTTAATATATGTATGTCGGTTGAATTAACAAGGCATATCATCGCTTCGCTCCGACAGGGGGGATGTCAGGCGTCGATGTATACCACATATACATATACTTTAGCACAGAAGAAGAATTAAACCTCGCTTGCAAAAGTTTATGCTTAACTAAGGTATTATCGGATCCTCCGAGGCTCACTGACGGTCGCTAATCTCACAGTGAACGCACTGACACATACGTCGGGTATAGTACCATTGTATGCACGTGGTTAAAGTGTGTCGGGGGCGGATACTGGGCGGACCCGCGCCGCCCTGCTTAGATTCTTACAGCCTACGAGAGGGGAAGAGGGGGAAGCCTAGTGAGGCTTTGGAACGCAGCGCGGGGGTGTTTAAATATCAAGCACAGAGTGCATGCTCAAAATAGTAAAATTGATATATCTAGAAAGAGTGGGGCGGCGTAATGAGTCACCCATCAGGAAACACGGAGGCGCAACAACCATTTAATATCGTTGAGCAGAAATGAATGGTGACAAAGGACGATCGCGAGTATACACTAGAAGTCTATAAGAGCGCGAACTCACCGGGCAGTTAGTTGTTGAAGGTTGAGTTAGTAGCTTGGTAGCTGGTAAGCTGACGATGGTAGTCGTTCGGTGGAGAGAGAAGACTTAGATGATATTCATGGTAGTGACTGTATATATATGACAGGAGCGTGTGAAGTCACTACCGTATTCGTAACTACTATGCAGTCCAAGTCCCATGGTAATGCAGGACAGCTACGTAAGCAATGAACGTGGCCCTATGCGATGAACGCGGAGCCACACGAATGCGTAAGCGCTAAAAGTACCAATGGGATACCTAGCGCCAGAATAGACGTATGAAGGCGGTGTTTACTTGTAGACCTTGTAGAGGAACATCGCCGTACTGGAGGCTTCTGGATGAACCAATAAAGCCGTAAAGGGTCGAATACTAGACGTAAATCTGACACTCCCCCTCGAATCGTATTCGCTTTACTGCTTGAGCAATGGCGTTTTGAAGAAAAGGGATATCTCACGACAGTACTTGACAAATTTAACCAACGGCAAGTTTTTGGTGAACAAGTCCGCTGGATTTTCGGTGCCCGGGATCCAAAAGAGGTCTATTACACCATCCTCGTATAGTTCCCGGACATAGTGATAACGGATGTTGATATGTTTACTCCGCTTCTCAGTAACAGGGTTCGCAATGTTATGCAGGGCTCCCTGATTATCGCCCACGATCGGAATAGCACCGACCTGCAGACACTCAAGTTCGCCCATCATTTGAGCGAACCATTTGGCCTGGCGAGAACAGTCCGAGATGGACATGTACTCGGCTTCAACCGTAGACAAAGCCACGGATTTCTGAAGATATGAGGACCAAGATATTGGTCCGTTTGCCATCATGAAGACATGGCCGGTCGTCGACTTGGCGGTGGAATCACCAGCCCAATCGGCGTCGGCAAAGGCTACAAAGCCTTTCCGCAGAGTCCCGTTGTACTCGATGTAATAATCTTGTGTCCCTACTAAGTAGCGCAGTATGTACTTTGCTCTGTTCAGGTGGTCCTCTGAAGGGTTGGCGGCATGCCGTGACAAATGTGTGACTGCGAAGGCTATATCAGGCCTCGTCCCAATCATCAAGTAGATGAGGGACCCGATCAGTTCTTGATATTCCTGTCGGTGCTCTGGGTTTACCGGGTCTGGATTTTTTATTGCCGTGTATCCTGTAGGGAGTGGCGTAGGCGCTGAGCGCGCGTTGTGGTAACCAAAGCGCACAAGGACTTTCCGCAGGTAATCCGACTGGTCTAGACGAATCGTAGACAGGTTGGGCCTGGTTAGTCGCATGCGTAGGAATTCTTTGGTATCACCAAGATCCCGACATTCCCAGCGTTTCATGAATGCAGCCTTCACGCGGATTAAAACCTCACGATCCGGCCCGAAGAACAAAGTGTCGTCAACGTAGATCACCGCAATGACCATGTTGGTATTACGATGCTTGAACTTGTAGACACCAGCATCAGACTGGATTTGTTCGAAGCCCAGCTCTTTTAGGGATTTCCGAAGAGCCTGCCACCATTGGCGACCGGCTTGCTTCAACCCGTAGAGAGCCTTGTGCAAGCGCCAAACCTTGCGCAAGTTGTTGGATTTGTGAAAACCCTTCGGCACCTCCATATAAATCTCCTCATCCAGATCGCCATAAAGATAGGCGTTCCGCACATCGAGGCCAGAGACGTACCAGCCTTTGAGCGCTGCGAGTGCCAGTATGGTGCGAACGGTTTCGAAGCGCACTACTGGGGAGAAGACTTCGGAGAAGTCGATGCCTTCGCGCTGGGAAAAACCCTTAGCGACCAGGCGTGCCTTTCGGCGGCCATCTGTTTTTATGTCGAATACCCATCGACACCTAATCACCCTACGACCGGGCGGTAGGTCAACTTCCGTGAAGACACCCCGTCGGACGAGAGCTTCGATCTCATCACGACAAGCCTGCATCCAGGCTTCCGACTCCTCGGCGGGCAATGTGATTATGT